ATGAATCACTGGTCAAAAATAAATTTCACGGAAAGTAGATTCCCAAGACCAGTTTGGTCAAAAATAAATTTCACGGAAAGTAGATTCCCAAGACCAGTCCACCATCCTCATCAGGTCCCCCCGAGGAAAACTGATGAGGCCGAAGTACCCCCCAAACAGAGTGGGCTCCAAACACCGAAGTGTCCACTCCCACCTGTTGCAATACCCATTTCAACCAACGAACCAGGGTAGTACTCATCACCATGGAAAATGGAGGCCCAATGGAAAGAAAAAGATGAGGAGCATAAACAGGCCACTGTACACAATGCTAGAGCTGAAGGGAAAGCTGGTTACAATACCGATCTAATCAAAGTCTTCATGCGCCTGGATATATTAAAATCAAAATCCAAGGTTCGTACATCCGAAACCCTCTTACAGGATACCAGGCAGAAGAGAGTGGCCAGTTTTGCATAGGGAAAGGCCCTCATTAGATGGCCATGAGTCAAACAAAGATAAAACGACGGAGACATCCCAGGTGGAGGAATAACAAGGTCTAGGAGGTCGAGAGAGGCGGGAACCACATAGAAGTCCACATACCAAAAGAATGCTGCCCAGCCGGACAACCTTCGAAACCTTCATGGGCAGAAGAAATGGCTGACCTATACACATTGATCATCCGGTACGCTCGGTCCGCTTCAAACAGAGAGGTGAGAAATTGGAGAAACCGTCACAAGGGCTGAAACGTCCCTAGCCAGGCACCAGCTAGCCCAAGATCTCCAAGCTGACCCATATGAGCTTTGAGTCCTGGGTGCCCATGCATCTTCCAAGAGACATCCAGTAGCATATAAACCTCCTGGGACCTGCCAGGGTCCCCTGAAATCCTCCAAGCCATCAACAGAAGGGAGCCATCCAGGAGAGGATGGAATTGGTCTGCTGGATCCCGAAGCATTTCCGTATGGGTCCGCAACAACCTGGGAATATCTACTGCCATCTCCAGAAGTTGAGGGAACCACAAATGAGTTCCCCAGAACGGGGTTACGAGGACCAACTCCGCCACTTGGCACCAAACCTGAAGCAGCACCCTGGGAAGCATTGCAGATGGAGGGAAAGCATAGAGAAGAGGTTCGTGCGGACGGGTCTGGACGCCAGCTGAAGAAACGGGGCAGCTGGGCGTTGAGCCGTGAGGCAAACAGGTTGATGGCAAAGGGACCCCAAAGGGACTAGATAGTGCAATTCTACATCCAATCTCTGCTGTCCAAAGGATAACGTGAGTTCCAATCTGCTTGAACGTTGTGCAGGCCTGGCAGGTACTCCGCCTGAACCACCAGATTTCATGTTAGATACTCCATTGCCAAGTGCCCCAGTAATGCCGACTGAGTGCTGCCCATGTGGTTGACATATCGAACTGCTGATACATTGTCCATACGTAGGCGAATGCATGCATTGGCAGTCTCCTTTGTGAAGCTCTGTATCGCAAAGGATCCCACTAGAAGCTCCAAAGCATTGACGTGCATTCTGGATTCGCTCTCTTACCAGTGCCTGCCTGTAGACACCCCTTCACAGTGGGCTCCCCAGCCATGGAGGCTCACGTCCGAGTCTATGATAAACTCCGGCTGATATCCAAATATGGCCCTGCCATTCCATGCACATAGATTGTGAATCCACCAACGCCAATTGTCCTTTGTTTCCTCGTCCAAGGAGATCAGGTCCGCATATGATGTTCCCTCGTGAAGATGAGCAATCTTCAACGTTGGAGAGCTCGATAGTGAAGAGGAGCCAGGAACAAAGACCGATGAGTCTCGCCAAGTGTCACAGGCTGAGACGTGGCCAGGTGAGGGCCCTGTGAAGCTCCTTGCTGATTGTTCACATTTTGGACGTAGACAGGCTCAAAGAGTCTTTCTCCAAGTTCACGAGAAAGCCCAAGAATTCAATGCACCTGGATGGCGTCAAGCAGGATTTCTCCCAGTTCATGAGGAAACCCAGCCTGGTCAGCAGATCCACCGTAGATGTTGAAGGAGGATGGATCGGTCCTGAGCCATGATCAAGAGTTCATCTAGGTAAACGATGAGGCGTACACCCTGACTGTGGAGCCATACCATTGCAAGATGTAGCAGCTTGGTGAAGTACCAAAACGCAGAAGAGAGACCAAACGGAAGACAGGTGAAGTGCCATATGTGTCGTAGGATGTCACTCAAAGCCGCATGCACCGTCAGGTATGCATCTTTCAGATCTAGTTTCACCAACTAATCCCTGAGTAGGAGCAGGTCCCTGAGGAGATGGATGCCTTCCATATTGAAATGCCGGTAGCGTATCCTGGAAATTGATTACCAGGCGCATTTGGCCACCCTTTTTCTCCACCAGGAAGATGTTATTTATGAACCCTGATGGGGATAGGGAAGCTTCTTTGGTATGTAAGGCTGACAACTCCTCGTCGATCAACCTGCGATCCCGAAGGGGAAAACAGATCAGCCGAGGTGGCAGGGATGCAACAAGGTGTTCCCACTAAGCAAATAACAGAAAAAACTGAATAAAGAGGGCTCCCTCAAGGGGGTCCCTCAAATAGCTGATATGGATAATAAATACACCATGGATTCACTATCTCTTGGTAATTGCTGAAGCGGTATATAACGAATAGGCAGTAGAAAATCCAGTATTTGAGATAAATCTACAAATATCTTGGGGCAAAAACTCATAAATGTAAGGGCACAAAGCTTTATTAACAAAGAGGATGCCCCAAGGAGACTAAAATGTACACGGTAGCTGAGTGAAATACCAACTATATCCCCTCCCTCTATCCGGTAATCTGAAGTGGGGGTAAGTTGGTAACAACCCAAAGTCATCAATATAGTCAGCGCACCATGGAACAGAGGGTGAAGGAAACTAGTCAGTTGACGGTCTAAAAGTCCAGTAAGCTAAATATACTCTGAGACAGCAGAGTTGCTGGGGTGGACACCGCTAGACTAGTTCCCTACCAACTCCTCGAAACACCTTCATGGGTGTTCTGTGCTAAAGCTGTGCTTGACTTCGGTATCCACATCAGCCTACACTATGGTACAGGATACTGCCTAAACTATATACCTAATAGAGCTACTCATTGCCAGAAAATAAAAAGCGAAAAGTGCAGAACAAAAATAAATGTGAATCCCCTTAAGTGCATAGTGCTGATTGAAAAAAGTGAGATAAGGGGATTATAACGGCTGAAACGCCCGACGCGCGTTTCGGAGTGCAAGGACTCCTTCGTCAGGGGCTAAGAGGCTCCCGCCCTACATCCCCAGTATTTAAATACATCAGTGGCCAATCAAAACTTCAGGTAATGCAGACGTCACAGTATCGACATTACAATCACGTGGGACTACCGCATTATCCAATCACTATGCGGATCAGATCACGTCATTGCTGACGTTATCAGGAGCCCCCCACGTGGGATGTTGGTTTTTCTAGCATAAATGGATTGGCAATATGAGTAACCAATCAGGGTCCTTTTCTTCACTACTGGTCACGGAAAGAGTAAAGAAAATTATATCCATTTATAATAAACTATACATACATTGCAACGAAGCAAAAGTTGAACAATAATGACACTAATGTCAAATGGTATGCTAAATAAACGTTACAATAAGAAAAGTAAACGATACCTTTATCCTGTCCTAATTGTTATTGTATCTTGCAAACACTTTTAGGAGCATCTCAACGTATTGGTCGTCAATTTTCAAACATTAATACTTCCTACAGAAAATCTATAATACATAAGAAAATAATAACCTAGCGCGAATAATTCGTGGATTAACTAAATATCGAAATCTTCATGATATTGGTGTTGGGAAAGTTGGAAAATTGCCAGGAAATATCCTTAATTTTTATAGGGCGAAGTAAGGCATCTGCTACAGTGGCAGAATGTATTTAGATTTACTATAGCTATGCACTTCTAACATATATATAAATGAAAATGTGTAGATATCAAACAATAAGAGATGTTGGTCACCATAATTATGTACTATAAATAATTGTACAGTACCAGTGAAGCCCTATATGATGAGCGATATGTTCAGTTTATGTGTTACTGTAAATGTATAAAAAGGGGTATCTAATAACCTATATATAATTTCCTTAATGAAAAGAGGAGAAATAATATTCACTATCGCTTTTATGTGCTAACAAGGACAACTAGGTAATAGAGTAATATCAGTGGTTTAAAAGAAGACCACATATTGAAGCGGCACAATGTATTCATCAATTACTGTAATGTTTGATTACAAGTGCATAGTTCACTTACCGATGAGGAGAAATATTATTCCTCAACAGTTATGCATAATATGACTGCTGAATAATGTATTAAAAGAAAAAAAGTTTAAAGAAGAGGGAGGGGAGGGGGGGGGGGGAGCAGCTAGTTCCATTGTCGTATGTTACTTATCATCATTAAATAAACGTGAAACAATAGCGGAAACTTAGAGTCAGCTATCAAAAACCATTATTCGAGATATGAAAGTATATAAGGTGGAAATGTTAAAGAGACTTTTAAATGAATGGAGAATAGGAGAAGCCCTCATTAAGGCCCCTCGGGGACAGTGTTTTTAAACGATAAATCCAATAACATTCACTTCTTCTCAGACGTTGATCCCAGTTGCCCTTCCTCTGATCTGGTTTGATTAATTCAATACCCAGAAACTTTAGAACTGTAGGGTCCCCATTATGGGCTGTCTTGACATGTCTGGAGACCGACGTCTCCAGATTTCGTGTTGTCTTTACCGAATTTATATGTTCCAATATACGCCTTTCCCACTAGGTGTTCCCACTAACTCTATGTGGAACCCTTTTACCGTGTCCAGAACCCATGTGTCTGATGTGATAGATGCCCAGGCTGGGGAAAGAAAATACGGAGTCTGCCCCCTGCACAAACAGGAGAAGAAACATGTGGTAGAGTTAAACTCACTGTAGGGTCGTCTTCCACCGGAATTTCCTCTGAATCCCCTTGACCACCATGGTCAGCCATGCAATAGAAAGAAGGGGGAACGGAGCCTCAATCAGTACAGAACAAGCAGAAAGTTCTGCTGAGATGAATGTGGGTTCATACGTGATGACGTAGAACGCAACACGTATCGAAGGTGGGCGTGCCCGGGTAGGTGAAGAAGCAAACAAGCCAACAAGCAACTTAACCAGTTTACACTGGAGGGAATTTGATTTCCGAGACTAGCACACACTCGCAGCGAGGGTCGCCGAGATTGACAAGCGGCATTCTGACCATGACGGAACCAAAGGTTGCAATCCACGATAAGAACGAGTTCGTGAGGTGGGGTGGCGGTGGAGCAGCAAGTGAACTGCCGGTGTGGTGTGAGCGGAACGATGTCAATTATCTCTTGCTGAAGCAGAGAGGAGAGCGCTGCTGCCAACTGACAGTGTCTGACTGACGGCATCATCGATGGAGCGATTCCGGAGCGGCTTGGAGCTAACAGCCTACCTGAGTGTTTTGAGGGAGCTGAGAGACGTGATTGTTTAAGGTGAAAGAGAAGCAAAAATATACACACATATTACTTGGTCTCTGTATGTTGAATTAAGAGTGCTGCAAGGGGATAAAGATTAGAAAGAGGATAGAGGAATAAGAGATAAGAAGATACGATAAGAGAGAATTAAGAAGGAATAAAGAAAAGAAAAAGGAAAAAAAAATAAAATAAAAAAAATAAAGCAATTTAACCAGAGATCGGTATAAACCAACTTAATTAAATTACTCATAATGACATCAAAGAAAACCTAGCAGAAAAGAAAAAAGAAACCAAACCATCACAAAAAAATGAACAAAGGCTTTCAGGCTTCTTATCTACTTCCTCAAAAGAAGTACAAGAGGTAATTACTGAAGCAGAAAGTCCTAATCATTCAGCAAACATAATCAATTCAAATGCAGAATTCATGGTCGCAAAGAAAAGTGAACATAATAGTTTACATGACCAGATAAAGCAAATTTTTGAATCTCAGCTACAAGTATTAAGACAAGATATGTTGATAAACTTCGATGAAATCAAACAAGATACAAAAAAAAATTTCAGAAGTAGTAAGTGGGATGAAAGAAAGATTTGAATATTTTGAAAATCAAATAAAGAATCTTAAAGAAATAGTGGAGTCTTTAACAAACAAGACAAAAAATCTGGAAAAAAAAATATCAGATCTAGAGGACAGATCGAGAAAACTCAATCTAAGATTTCATAATATACCAGAGGACATTACACCGCAAAAAATGGAAGAATATTTATTTGGATTATTCAAAGCAGTCCTCCCTGAGGTATCGTCAACAGAGTATCAAATTGAAAGAGTCCATCGTATCTTTAAACCAACTAATATCGTTACTCACCTCCCAAAAGATGTCATAGTGGACTTCCGCTCGTTACATACTAAAGAAAAATTATTAAAAGCTAGACGCATAAAATCTCTGGAAACCACCATCTACAAGGACATAATATTTTTGCAAGACTTTTCCTATTACACAAGATCTTGGAGAAAATCATTTGCAACAGTAACCGATTTCTTAAGGAAAAATAATACTAGATATCAATGGAGCTACCCAGCGGCCTTGAGGTTTATATGGAGAGAAGATAAACTTTCCTTCACCAGTGTAACTGCAGCTAGAAGTTGGCTGAAACATTGTCAAGTGTAAAAGCTTCTTACTCTGATTATAAAGTAAACGGCTAATAACAAGTAGAGGTATAAGATATTAAATTCTAAAGTAGGAGGAGGAGGGATGAGAGGGTACTATATGGTGAAGTGAGAAGAGAGATAGTAAGTAGTTGGTGATAGGAATTGATAAAAGTAGTATTTGTTTGTTTTTTTTTCCTCTTACTCTCTTATAAGATAATTTGCAGGGTTTTGTGAAAATGTAAAAAATGTAAAGACCATCAAGAGTGAAAACCAAGCAAAGAAATCAAGAGTGAAAACCAAGCAAAGAGAATAAGTGCAAAAGCCTCTATTAATACTCAAACCCTGTTTATTTTTATTTTTTTCTTCATTTATATAATGATGTGCACTAGTTTATTTATTCAAGACCTCAAAGATAAGTTAAAAATGGAATACCACAAAGTAGATAAGAATCATAAGAAAATTCTGTAATATTAAATATTAAATATAAAGATAAACACAAAAGACACAATATAGATGGTTATACACAAGAACTTATAAGTTTTTTTTGGTTTGTATTTTTCTCTCTACATTTCAGCAGGGTTCTGTAAATACGCATAATCCAACAATAGCGTATGAGGAAGTATAAAGGCTCTATAAAGAAATAAAAGCGCAAAAGTCAGACCCTGTGTTTTTAATTTATATAGTGGTTAGCACAAGATGGTCATCTGTTTAAATTTCAAAGAAAAATTAAAAATCGATTAGCACAAAGTATACACTAATTATATGTATATTTTGGAATGGCTTCAGTAAATAATTAGAAGCTATACCCGTAAAGATAATACAAGAAATGACACGATATAGATAGTAATGCACAACGTTTTTTTTGTTTTTTTGTTTTTCCTCCCTTCCCTCCCCCCCTTTGAAATGGACAAGCTAAATCAGGAGATCGGAGCTTAAGAACTAGTTGCCAGTAAAGCAATTAGAGGGCAAACAGGGAAGAAAATAGACATAAGAATTAGCCAGCCCGGGCTGACCTACTTAGTGTCCATATAAAGACACAGCGCAAGACTGATTTCTCACTATGGGGAGAAAACAGTCTTCTTATCAACAGGGGATGATATCCCCTAATGATTTTAGATTTATGTTTTTTTTTTAATGTCTTTTATGTCTGTATGTTTATGCAACAATAGGAATTGAAGTATTACAATATGTGGCCAGATTGGGGGGGTGAGGAAGTTCTGGAAAATAGTATAATATAATAAAAATGTTAACAATTAATGTCCAGGGTATGAACTCAACAACAAAGAGGTCTATACTATATAAATATTTAACCAGCGAATATATTGACCTGGGGTTTCTCCAAGAAGGAGACAATCAGACACACAGAATTGGGGTGGAAAAAAATTCCCACAGATCGTACATGCCTCAAATATAGATAAAAAAAAATGCGGAGTAGCCATAATATTTGAAGAAAGGTTAGAAGCTGAAATACTGCAAGATGTAGAGGGCAGATTTCTCATGATAATATGCAAAATTATTGGTGATCTATTCACATTACGTAATGTTCATTTGCCAAATAATTCCCCAGCAACCTTTTTGAAAAGAATATTAGAAGAATTAGAAGAAATAAAAGTAGGACAAACAAAATTAAATGGTGATTTCAATTCAGTTTTGAATCCAAATGTCGACAAATAATTAATTAAATGAGTTAAAATGAATAAAGTGGTAGTTAAGCAAGCTAAATCCTTAAAAAAAAGTTAAAGATTAATTCAATCTCTATGATATCTGGAGAATTAACAATGTAAATGTGTTGGATTATACATATTTCTCCAAAGTACATTTTTCTTATTCTCGTTTGGATAGGATTTGGATAGATCCCTCACTTATAGATGTAATAACAAAGACAGATATCAAAGAAACAACATGGACAGATCAGATCATAAAAACAACTGAGTCTTATAGTTGGCGTCTAAATGACAGTCTTTTAAAATCAGAGTACAATAGAAATTATATTGAAATGCATATTAAAAATTATTTCAAAGATAATTGCACAGAAGAAATAGATCAAACAATCTTATGGTGTGCTTTTAAGGCAGTAATTAATCTCAAGCCAATAAAGGTCTGAGGTTATCCGATCTTTATACAGAGTTAAGAAAATTATCACAAATAAAAAAACAAAGTCCAACAGCTGAGACTTCTGATAAAATATCAGCAACAAGAGAAAAAATAAATCAGAAATTAATGGAAAGAACAGACAAAAATTTAGATAGATTAAAACTTAAGTACTACTCTAAAGGCAATAGAGCCGATAAAATATTATCTCAAAAACTTAGAAAACAAAAAGGCTTAAACAAAGTGGATAAATTAATAAATAACGGTAACACAGTAGAAACTCACAAATATATAGGTCTCCAGTTCAACGAGTTTTATAGTAAACTTTATAATTTACCATAATCCCCGACTAAAGAAGATATTAATAAATATTTTGTGAAAATAAATAAACCTCAAATTACAGGAATAGATAGTTGTGTACTAAATAAATAAATAACTATTGAAGAACTCAAAAACGCTATCCAGGGGTCTACTCTCACGCTGTCTCAGACCTTAGCATGACAGCGATCATCTCATCATCATGTTTTCATTTAATTTTTATTACCAATTCAGCAGGGAAAGACTTAGGTGCCCTCAAAGACAAGGGGGGCAATAGCTAGTATTGAGTCATTATTGGACTTAGGGATACAGCTCAATTCTTATAATTTGCAGCAACTGCTATCTTTGTGTTGTTTTAGATTTTAGCATGACAGCGTGTATCTCTGGTTTAGTCCAACCAACATTATTAATCCAGCAGGGATAGACTTAGGTGCCCTTGAAGGCACGGGGGGCAATAGCTAGTATCAAGTTATTATCAAATTTAGGTATACAGCCTTACTCCTATTATTTTCAGCTACATGGTGCTTGCGTTACCCTAACTGATCTCTGAACAGAATTCTTAGGAACCGTTCTGTGACAGCAATCTCCCTCTGCTTTAACTCATTCAACTATGGTCTCTATTTAATCATGAGATAACCTTATATGCTTCCAAGCACGGAGGCAAACTGTCAGCATAGTATACTTGCTCTTAATTGCTACTCTCATATTGACAGCTATTTTTCATATAGCCTGTATATGTTCTGTGGAATCTGCATTATACTGCATCTTCCAAACTACTGAACGGATCTGGGTGAATTTTGGATATGTGGTTCACCCAGATCCCCGGTTCTGATTATATATATATATATATTTTTTTTATGGGGTTATTCAATGTTTTGGGGTCCCTGTGATATGTTTTATAATACTGTATTTCTCTGCCTGTGATAATTAGATTAACCATTGTGTTCAGTAATCATATCACAGGCAGAGGGGAGGATTTTGTGTGGGAGTGTCTGTGTGTAATGTACGTGTGTTATTGGTTGTTCTGTAAAACCCTGTGGGCAGTACTAAATTTGTGGATTGGGAATAAAAGAGGCTGTATGTGCCAGTACAGTCAGTTCTGCTTGACCTCAAAATGAAGTGTCGTCTCGTTATTGGGGGAATTGGATTGTATGCTGATTGCCAGGAGTGTAAGCTGATTGTATGCTTTTCCTGTTCAGCTGCTTACAGCATTCATATGCTTGAGAGCATTCATATGCTTCTCCAGTTCGGTGGTTGTGGTGTCTGCTGAAGTGCTTGGAGTCCTCAGGAAGCGCTAGGAGCATCCTTCAACAGAGGTACCCAGTCGGGGTGCCAGGCGATCCCTTACATGTACATATCTTCAATCATTTCCAGCTAC